AAAATTATCCTGTATCCACTAAGTATGTAAAAATATTATGTGTCCAATAAATTTGCACACACACAAATTCAACAGTTGGATTGGGCTGACAGCTGGCCTTAGTTCAAAGATTCTTCAGGATAGTAAAGGAGAAATTACTAACACGGAGGAGGGAGGAATCACTCAAAGGGAGGAATCACCTAGAGGGAGGAATCAAGAGGAAGACCAACAGAGGGTCAGTGAGCAACTGAATCTTATGGGTCTTTATAGTAATGATGTTCACATAAATAAAACATTTGCAATTTCAAAAATAATAGTACCAATGGTTTCCTGAACTGAAACATTTATGTGCTAATGTCACATCTTATAGGTTTTACTAGAAATCACTTAGGTCTAAAAATTCAACTCTAAGATAAAAACCATTTTAGTATGGTAGGCTAACTGTTCTGAAGTATGAACAATAGGCTTCTAGAATCCCATTTAGATATTATTAATTCATGTGTTATCAAAGAGAGACATTTGAGGAAGTCATTCATTTTTCCCCTGAGCAATTAGAAATTCCCATTAATTATAAAAAATGTTATGAAAAATATAAATTGTAAAAGTTACCTATCTGCTTCCTTTTTATTTCCTTAAAAATGAGTTTGGAATAATAAAAGGGTATTAGTCATTCTTAGAGAAATTCTCCTATCCTGTGCCAAATTTTGCCTCTTTTCATAGACATTAACTAACTTACAAGGGATTGCATTAAATATGGACATAAGACTGAAGCCAAGAAACTGAGCTACTGCGACTACATTTGATTTCACTTAGGGCTCTTTTGGCAATGTGGACCAAAAATTGACCACTAGCCTTTCAAAGAGTACTTTTATTTCCATATGTAGGTAGGTTGGTGAAAGACAGAAATTGTCCTGTGTAAGTTCTACAATATTGACAGAACTAGAAAATACGCAATTATTAAGGAAGCAGAAATTGGCACTGTTCTATAATTTCCTGGTATTTTGAATCAAAGGATACTGATACCTATATAAACATTTTATTATTCTGAATACTATTCATTTACTATCAAAAGATATTGAAGAATTCCTACTTTCTATGAACTCTTTGCTTTCCTTATGGATCCTTCTACTTCAAAGACTTGAATTGGGTGTCAACATAACATATACAAAAAGTGATATGAAAAATTGTGGTATATATGTGTATTAAAATTGTAATGCAAAGAAAGCACATGTGTAATGGCATTAAAAAAAAGACTGGGATAAATCAGAATTGTTTGGGTTTTTTTTGTTGTTGCTGTTGTTGTTCTGAAATGCAACAGGAAAATACATGTTTGACTCTCAGCTTTAATCTCCATCAGCTCTGTAAGTAATCATTGACTGCCTTAGCTTTATATAATGCTCTACATTAATAGGCTTATAAAAACTCAGAAATGCTTTATTTGAAAATAATCTCAATATCCCAGTGAAGATCTAAGTCCAGTTCATTATTTTCAGACATTGCTGTCCATGTATTCAAGCTACTTCTCTGCCATAGACTTCTGAAATCAGTTCAACTTCTTTCCCTGTGTATCAGACTATTTATGACTCCCCCAAATTCATGTACTGAAATTCCAACCCAAGTTAATAGTATTGGGAAGTGAGGCTTAATGACTTGGGAAGCCATTAAGTCATGAGGGTCAGACACTCACAAATGGGTTTATTGCTCTTCTAAAAAGATCCCAGGGAGCTTCCTTGTTCCTTCCCCCATGAGGGGTTGCAAGGAAGCAGTGCCATTTATTTACCAGAAAACAAATCCTCCCCAGAATCTACCAGCCTCTTGATCTTTAACTTCCAAGGCCCAGGATAAGGCTTCTTCCTCTCTTTCTCTTTGTTTTAAGCTAAGTTTCTGTCTCATCAAAATTTCACAAAAAATTATAAAATTGACAAACAAATGAAAAAAATCTTTCCATAACATCATCTACAGATAATTAACCATTGTAGTGTGTATCCTCCATTTCTTTATCTTTCATATATGCACATAGAAATATTTATGTTTATACTCACAATTAGATACATTTTTTAAAAATGTCATTCCTTACTACTCTGCTCTGGTCACTAATTAATTATAAGTACTTTTATTTATCATTAATCATTGAGTCAGAATCAACTGTTCCATAATATTTTAGTGTTAAGAGTGACTGTACTATATTTCACCATTTGCCACTATTTGATGCTCAGGTAGATTCTAATATGAAGAATAATACTAAGATGGAAACCCTTATAAATTAAATATTTATTTCCTTATAATACATAGATGAAATGGACTATTTAGTAAATAATATAAAAACTATAAAGCTTTTAATTACTAAAATGCTCTTCATAATTGCAAATTGATAGCCTGAGTAGCAATGACTATCTCTTTCTCCACAACCACACCAACAGTAGATATGATCACTTATTTTATTCTTCTGATATCTCTTTTCAACATAAAATAATAGGATATTATTTCCCACCACAGTTTCTGGCTATATTAGTTTAACTTTTGGCATCAGTTACTTAAGAAAATAGATGCAATTTCTCAAAACTTTATAAGGAGTGTTCTATCTACCAAACTGTCCTTGCAATTTTTACAGGAGCCACACATCAGTGAAAAACTACTGCCTTAGAAAATGTACTAAAATGTAATATGTATTACCCAAATTACAGACTATCAGAAAACACAAAAGTCTCATGCAAAACAATAGCATGTTGATGGAAAATCTCAATTGGAAGAGTAGGAAAAATGGGCTTCTACTTCCTTGGTTCATCCACTTATAAAATTATTGCATGCTCAGAAAGGTTTCTAGTCTGAGAATAATTAAAATTTTTCCAAAGCCATAGTTGTAAAAATAAGACTCGTTCCAGCTATTGTGATCCATCACTGATATATGGTCACCTCGTGAAAACAATTTTTATTGGGTCTCTTTAGTGATTATGACTTATTCAGTAGCAACTAACTGGCTCAAGCAGAGAAAGATCCAGGGCTTAACTTCTCTCCCCACAGCCCCGCTCTCTCTTTTTAATACTTTGTGCCTCTATGCGTTACCTTCTTTTTGTCTCTCCTCATGGTGGGAAAGATTGTCTTAGATAGCCCCAGACCTAGCCTCCATCCTCACAACCTCTAAGGGAGAAGAAATTCTCTCATCCTCTGCGTCAACTGCTAAAAAAACACTGTGATTGATCCTGCCTGGATCATCCAAGGTGATGCTAAAGGAAAGTCACTGTGACAGTCAATCCCATCAAGACCACTCAGAGCAGGGGATTTTTCTACAAAAAAATAGATAGGACTGCCAATTTCTCTCCATTACTCTTAGCAGTTAGTAGACCTCTCTGAAGACTGCCCAGACAATTAAAGCATTTTTGTACTACAGTTGATGCTCTCTACTTAGAAAAACCTGCAGCCACCAAAAACAAGGCATCTGAAATCAAGACTGAGGCCAACATTTCTATTTTAGAGTCTGTTTACAGAAACATGGTTAAAAGTAGCGGGCCATTTAAGTGAGTAACTGAAGGGGCCAACTGACCCGCTGGTGAACAGTGAAAGCACATATTGGTGTTATGTTTGAATTAAGGAAGGAGCATTTTGTAGAAACTGAATGAAATCTGCTTGCATTCCATTGAAAGATCCATTGGCCTTTCCTTTATTATTTGCTTTCATGAGTAATAAATAACCATAGGCTAAGGTCCTCTTTTATCATAGCAATATATGTTTAATAATGTTAGTGGGGTTAGTTGTTATCATTACTACGGATAGAATTTATCATAAACAATAAGTTAACCTACTGATTAGTCATATGCAAAAATAAAAAAATTAAAATTTTCACATGTTCTGCATTTACACATATATCCCTACAGTGATAAAAAAAAATGACTCATTCTCTTTTGTTTCTACAGAGTTTCCTTTGGGAAAACAGATGTTCATACAGAATAAGTGTAAATTCCCCATTTTCTTCGCATGTTTGCACTTTTACTTGACAAGCGCTCCCTTTTCTGTCAATGATTTGAATGAGAGGGCCTTTTTTCTTTCTCCCTATCCCCGTGTTTCTTAGACTTCTTGGTAGACCACAGAGAATCTGAGAAATAATACTGATAAATGGATGTCAGGTTTATGAAATCAGATTTCTTTGTCTATTGGGAAATCTTGAAAAATCTGCTATACTTCTTTGAGTCTCATCTCAAATTTTTTATGGTAGAATTAGGAAAATATGTGAATGGGAGAATTAAAATTGATAACATATACAAAAGTTATATACTCTAAAAATGTACATACCCTGAAAAATAGCAAGTGACTACTAATAGATGTTATTATTTACGAGGAACAATTTTTGAGATAAGAAAATAATTCCAGTTGAAAGAAGAAGTAATCAAATAATTTCTAGGGTATGGCACAGGTGTTGCTCTCTAATATATAATCTTTACAACTAGATCTCAAAACTGGTTTGCAAAGATTAAAAAACTCATTCATCTTTCACAAAATGAGCAGCAGTTCACGTGCAGTAACTTGTTTCTTTAAAGAAATTTGCATGTGGGGTAGATTCTTGGTTTAAGTTCATTAAAATGGAACAGGTATCTTGTTTTTACTGTGAGCTGATTTGCACTTAAAAATCTTAAACTTGCTTTGCCTTTACTTTGTTATGGGGAGAAAAAAATATTCATCATTATCATTCACATCACATGTCCTCAGGGTCCCCAACTAAGGTGTTATTATAAGAAATAAACAGAATCTACCTGAACTCTTTTATCTCCAGATAATCTTTTAAATAGCATACAGCATAATTGGGTTCAGGTGGCAGCCATCAATGAGCTAAATCTTGACTGAGATTAAGATGAATGACAACATTGCATGTCCAAGACCCACTGCCTCAGCAAGAAATGAGAAATTAATGGAATCAGTATCAGTGGTGTGACTACAGGAAGAAAAAAAAAAAAGAAAAAAAAGAAAAGGGATGCTTAAACATATATGATGAATATTTCAGTGAACACAAATCTTTCTTCCTTCTGTACCTTTAATATCCCCATATTCCTGGGATCGACCATATAGAACCAGAACCGAACAGCACACATTCCAAGGCTTGCTGGGAAATATTTGGTGGTAATGATTCTTCCAGTGGCTCCTTCTTTGGGGCTGGAAGAGTTGATGTAGAGGAAGTGTCGTCCACTACCTTGAAATAGATAAAAATGATTTTTTTTCAGAGAATATAATTTTACATTTTATAGTATGACTCAGAATATGTTTTCAACCGTGCACAAATATAATTTTCTCCCTAAACAAATGCATACACAATGAAACAGAATTCTTTCTTTTTCCTCTTTTTTGTCAGATAGCAATAACAGTTCCTTTCAATCAACCAAAATAAAAGTGCTGCTATGATTGCAACAATTCACAAAATTCACTTTGGCACATGATTCAAATAAAAAGTGATGATGAAATATTTGTGTTGACTATGGAAGTGTATTCCTTTTCTTCTAATTTGCTCTAACCTGTCATTTTCAAGTAAAGTATTCTGTATTCTGTTGTATTAGGGTTCTCTAGAGGGACAAAATCAATAGGAAGTATCATTATAAAAAAGGGGATATATTAGGCTAGCTTCCTACCAGAAGCTGGATAGTCCACACTGGCCATCTGCAGGTTAGTAGCCTCAGATCAAGAAGGATCAATGGTTCTACCCTCCTCCAACACTGAAGGCTTCTGGAAACTCCCAGAGTCCAGTTTGGAAGAGTGAAGAAGGAGAGTCCAACATCCTCAGACGACTGCAGCAGCAATCAAGAACCCATTTAAGAAGAATTGAGCTCACATCTGCTGCTGCCTCCTTGTTCTTCCCAACTTTTATTTCATTCAAGCCATAATCCTATTCCACAGTGCGGCCATGCTTAATGAGGTTCTCCATCTCACTTGGCTAGCCCGGATGCCAATCATTCCTAGACACACCCTCATTGACCCACCCAGAAGCCTCTTAATCATCAGCATCTCTTAATCCAATCAGGTTGACAATTCAAATTAACCTTTACATCTGTGCATAGAGCTAGTACAGAGTAGGTATTGGGGACTGGTTGATATTGTATATTCCATTCATTCACTCTGATTTCAGCATGACTAGAGAGAAGAGAATGTCTATAACTGTAGTGAGATGTGATTCAGAGAAGCATCACACTATTAGTAGTTTTGGGGCATAGATAACTTCTGTGCTTTTCATCTGCATTAGTATATAAAGGATATTTGTATTTAAACACAACTGGATTTTTTTCTGTTGGCATTATTGTCAAAATTTATCATAACTACTATTCCTTTTCATGGCTTACACTTGGGGAAGATATATAAATATATATAGATCCAATTTGAGGCTATAAATGTATTTGTAAATCAACATTCTTTTATTGAGGCTTTTAAGTGCCCACAGTTTGGCGATGATGCTGCTCTTTCATTTTTGATATTAGCACTTTGTATTTTCTCTTTCTTGTTTTACTTAACCAGGATAGAGGGTTTTGAATTTTATTGGTCTTTTCAAAGGACTAGATTTTAGTTTCACTGATTTTTCTCTGTTGTTTTTAATATAATTTCATTAATCTCAGCTCTAATATTCTAATATTCTTTATTTCTTTTAGTTTTCCTATTGATGGCTTGACTGCATTGGTGTGGAGAATCCAGGACCCTGCACAGGATAGACAAGGGCTCTGCCATGAAGCTACAAACCCAGAATTTCATTCTTTCTTTGATTTAGCTTACTTGAGTCTTAAATTATTCTTCATTTTCATAGTTTTCTAAGCTAGAAGCTTATTGATTTTAGGTCTTTGTTCTCTTCAAATATATACACTCAATGTTAAAAATTTTCTTGTCAAGTAATGTTTCAATTGAAACACACAAATTTTGATGTTATATATTCTTTTAAATTTAGTTCAAAATAGTGTTAGATTTTTCTTGAGTCTTCTTTGCCCCATATATTATATAGAACTTTGTTGTTTGGTCTCCATGTGTTTGGAAGTTTTATAAGTTTCTGTTGCTTATTTGTAGTTTAATTCCATTGTGGCTGGAGAGCATACTTTGCATGAATTCTATTCTCTTAAATTTGTAAAAGTATGTTTTATGGCCCATAACATAGCATATCTTGGTGCTTGTTACATGTGAACTTCAGAGGAACGTGGGTTTTGCTGTTGTTAGATGAAGTAGTCTATAGATGTCATTATATCCAATTGATTGATAGTGCTATTCAGTTCAACAATGTCTTTCCTGACTTTTTGTTTGTTGGATCTGTTCATTGTTAACAGACAGTTTGAGTCTTCAGCTATAACAGTGGATTTATTTCTCCTTGAAGTTCTATTAATTTTTGCTTCACAGACTTTGATGTTCTAATGTTAGGTACTTACATATTTGATTGTTGTGTCTTCTGGGAGTAATGTAATGTTTACCATTATGTAATGTTCCTGTTTAACTTTGATACTTTTCCTTGCTCAGATGCCATCTTTGTCTAAACTCCCTTGTTCTTTTGATTAATGTTAGCATGGCATATCTTTCTCTACCTCTTTACTTGTAATCTATTTGTGTCTTTATATTAAGTATAAGTTCCCTATTGACAATAAAACATATGAATCCCACCTTTATGTAGACCTATCAAGCACCAATTAAAAATAAATAAACAGAAGGAAGACTAGTAGAGTAGAGGAAGGGTAGTAAGGAGAGGGAGGAGAGGATGGAAAGAGAAGCACTGTGGACTGAAATGGAGCAAATTATATTCCATTCATGTATGATTAGGTCAAAATGAACCCTATTATTATGTATTACTATACTGTATTAACAAACACATTTTTAAAAAGAGAAAGCAGATTATATTATTATATATTATTATACCCGCTTGTATAATACAGTGCCAATTTTTTTAAGAACAAAAACATTTATAGGTATGCCTTTGGAAGGATATATACCAAAATAGTAAAATAGCCATTGTTAGTGTTGGAATTATGGAGGAGAACCTGGATTGTGTTTATTTTCTTTTTATATTGATTATATTTTTGCTTATAGTTTTTAAATTGAGTGTTTTCCTAATAAGAACAAATTATGAGAGTCATTTTAAATATATATATATATAATGCATGGCTTGTCTCTATTTTTAATAAAGGTAAACTTCCCCTTTGTTAAAAAAGAAGAGTATGAGTGGGAATATCTTGAAAGGTTTTATATTTTGTTTCAAGGATATCACCTGTTTGTTTCCTTAGTTAGAAAATAGAGAAGTATGTTCACAAGGCCAAGACATACCTGGAGTCCATCAGTCAAACCTAAGAATGGTGGCTTCATCTTCAAGAACATACTTTATTTAAATCTATGCTATCTTTATTTAAATAAGCATACCTAGATTCCCCCTCATCTGGATGCTTTCTCTATTTCAGATTTTCAAGGCATTCTGACTTTCTCAGACAAACTTAAAAACATTATCCTAAATAAGAAAAATAGGGTCTGACCATATTTGAGTTATAATAATAACTTTTCTTATGTGATACATTTACACAGTAGAATATCACTCAGCCATGAAGAGAAATGAAACCAGGGCATTTATAGGTCTAAGTGAAATAAGCCAATCCTAAAGAACCAAAAGGCAAACGTTTTCTCTGATAAGCAGATGCTAAATCACAATGGGGGCTGGTAAGGAAGATTAGAAGTACATTGGATTCGACAAAGAGGCACGAAAGGAAGGGCGGGGACATAGGAATAAGAATGATAGTAGAAAGAATTGGACATACTTTCCTATGTGTTTATATGAGTACAGAACCAATGTAATTCCACATCATGTACAACCAGAAGATTAGGAAGTTATATTCCTTATATGTATAATATGTCAAAATACATTCTACCATCATGTATAACTAAAAAGAAGAAATAAAAAGAAAGAATAATAATTTTCCTGGCTCAAGGGAAAATATCTTATCTATTCATTCTGTATTGGATGTGAAGCTTGTCCAAAATACCTAATTAACTAATATACTTGTAAAAAACTACTTTATATTTCATAGCTCAGCACTTAAAATAGAATAACATAATAAGAACTAATATGCTTCAATCTCAAAAGAAGATCATGTTTAATTTAGACTTTGAGTATCTTTTCCCATGCTTAGTGATTGCCTGATGTTGGAGGTCAAATATTTACAGAAGTAGGAAAAGTAATAATTGGGTCCACTAATCCAAATTTAATCATTTTTTTACAAAATTAAGAATTGAATTAGTTTGAAACCTTATATTTTGGTAAGTCATTCTTCTAATTGCACAGAGACATTTGTGTATTTGTTCACTATTTCAGATGTTTCTAGTGAGAAACTCTAATCCTCTATTTATTAAAGGCTAGTTTTACGTTTGCACAGTATCTTGAATTAAGTTTAAATGTTCTGACCCTCATCATTGCCTACAAGTTCGTAAAGTAATTCAAATTAAAACATTTGCAGTGTCTCACTAATTTTTTCATGGTCAAAGACTGTATCTTGATTTTAAGTACTAAAATCCAAACACATTAATCTCATTAATATCCGCACAACATTGTGAGAATTTGAAAATACACAAATGAACACAATAAAGCCTTTTACCACTTTATTCTTAAATAGCCACAATTCATTTCCAATGGAGTTTGTGCCTGCAAAAATTCTAAAATATTGAATTCAGATTGAATATCATCTCTTTTATTTGCTATTTCACATAATTTCCTCTAGTATTTAACTTTTGTCAATAGCAACTACCAAAAAACAACTTGGCAGGGATGTGACATCATTGAAATGTCATACATTCTAATGTTTTTGTTTTAGTACTACATCATGAAACATGCTGTAAAAAGATAATGATAATTACCTAGGGATAATAATCTACCATTTCACTATAGCATATTTGTATGCAGGACAAACAATGTCATGTCAGGCTGAACATCAAAACTTGCAATCCAATAATTAGTTAGAGGACCTTGGGCTAAGTTTTTAAAGTATATCCTGAGTAGCCTTTTCTAATCTACATATTCAATTTTGAGTTTACAAAATTCTTCAGTGGCACAAAAAAAATCAGAAAGTCAATCTCTGGCTGAGGTGTTAGTTCATGTCAATGTGAAATTGTATCCATTTTAAAACAAGAAGGCAAAAGTTTGCCTGGAAATTTAGAAGTCACTATTGTATATTTGTTCTTTGGTGACTTTTAACT